CAAAAGGAGAAAATAATTATTTTTATTTCATTTTTTTTTTTTCATAGAAAAGTGCGCCGCGAAGAAAATTGCAAAATACGTCAAATTTGGGATATTCCGCAGTGCGTTCGTTGACTCTTCTGCGCACTAAGACTTCAGTCAAGTGTTTTCATTTCTATTTCAAGCACTTCAAAATATCAAAAAAAAAAAATAATAATAATTTTAACTAAAGCAAAACAGAAAAAAAAAACAAACTAATTTGATCAATTATTCAATTATGATAGACTAGTCTGAAAGTCTAGCAAATAATTTTATCTGTTGAAATGTAATTACGTTTCATTTACACTTTGATAAGGTGCTGGAACGTAATCAGGAAGCGGGACACGAAAAGAAAACAAAAACCCGTATTATTTATTATATATTTATCATTTAATAAAAAAAGTTTTTTTGCATTAAAATCATATACTGTCTATATACATACATGTCCCCATACCATACCTTCGATCTATCACATGTAAGGTAGAGGAGGTTGAGCATTTTACCCCGTGAATCCCTCTTAATGAAATAGTGGTTTGCGTTGATTCCTTTAAACCGAAAATGGTACCTCTACCCAAACTTACTATAGTTATCAAGATTGTCAAAAATATGTATACGGTGGGTGCACTTCTTGTTACCTTATAGGATCGACATATCTTAAACTGCTACATTCAGTCACATTTCTTACCACTTGAGTCTTATAAAAAACGAGCTGCCATTCGTAACTACTCATTTGTTTTGATAAGAAAGTTGTTTTTTTTTGTGTATAATTATATTTTAATTTAACAATAACTTTAATGATACATTAATTTTATGAACTCTTCACGTGTATAAACCTTGCTGTGCATCCTTGGATTTTTTAATGAAACCGGCATACCTTTCCGGTTAACTGCCTGCCACATTTATCTTCTGAGTGCAGTACATTTTCGAATTAAAAACATTTCCATGCAAAATAAAAACGTAATTAAAAATTTCTTCTTAAACAAGACTCACAACAACAACAACAACAAAAGATACTGAATTTACATTAAAAAAAAAATTGTTTATCTTCTGTAACGAAGACAAAGAAGCGGCCAAGCACTTTTATAAATATTTACGAAAACTCAGATGAATAAGTCGGTCATTTTTCTCGAAGGCAGCAGCCAGCACTCAGCAGCCAGCATGTGATATTTTTCTATCATTTCATAATGTTTGTAAACGAAAATATAATTATTATTATTTTCATTTTTGAAATTATCTTTCTTTTATGCCATAAAAAGCAAAATTGGCTGCTTTTCAAGAACTTTTTCTGCGCATTTCGCAAAAAAGATTTTCCATTTCAGAAAATAAAAATTTTACGGAAAATAAAGAGTCTTGCGCCCCCTGTCGCGCCCTCTTTTTTTTTAAGAATACAAAATGAAAAATGAAAATTTTCTTTGTGCAAAATTCTGTTGTTTTTAGAAATTTCCTATGTCGCAGTCGCAATCGCAATCGCAATCGTCTACGTCGCACGGCACTGGGATTTCCGGATGTGGGTGTGAAAAAATATTTTCGATTGTCGACACATTGTCTGACGTAGCGATGCTATTTTGATGAGCGTAGAAAATGGTCTAAAGTCATTTAAATCACGTTGGTCTAAAACGAAACGAAGTGAAAATGACCTTTTCACACACAATTTTATAAAAAAGCAATATTTTGACGTTTTGAGGTCAAATCGCAAAAATTCTCGATTGTTGTTAAAAAACAATTCTATAATTTATTGTTTAAAACATTAATTGCTTTTCTTTATTGTTTTAAGATAAATTTTGTTAATTGATTTGATTGTTTTTGTTTATTTACGCATTGCCATTTACTTTTATTTACACAAATTAACACATTTCTGTGCTTGACCAAATGCGGGGAGAGTCATTTCCCTCAATGCGTTTCACGCAATTTTTTTTTATTTTTCAAATTGGCGAAAAGCCAAATTTTCAGTTGAATAACCTGATTTTTATGAAATGAAAAAAATATATTTTTTTAACTGAAAGTGAAGTATATAGTCTATTCAAAAATAAAATAAATAAAAAAAAAAATTAATTAAAATTAATCTTCACTTAATGAAAAAAAAATTAAAAAAATATATTAAAATAAATTTTAAATAAATAAGTTTCAAGTGGATTTATTATTTATATTGACAAATATATTTAACAAAAAAATTATTGAATTTAATTAACTAAATCAAAATTTAATTATTTTCAAACTTTTTCCACAAGATATTTTTGTTGCACTATTTAAAATAAAAAATTGCTTTATTTAATAATGTATTTTAAATATATTTTAAAAATATTTTAGAACTATTTTAGTGTTTATTAGAATTACTTTATTAATAAATAATGAGTTATACATTTTATTGAAGTCAATTTCAATTATTTATTAATGAATATTTTAACAAAAACTTGGGAATCAAATCATTAAGTTAATTAATAAATTATTAATTTATAATTTAATTTACTTCATAATAATTTAAGCTCTTAATATGTTGCTTTTATTACAACCAATAATTTAACAAAACTTGAACGAAAGCTTTTCAGTTTTTTTAAACAAAAGCTCATTTTTCTATGCTTTTTATTTGAATGAAACTAAATGAAAATGGAATATCAAATTTTAATACACTGAAAAATATTTTTGATAATTGAAAAATATTACAACTAATTTCGAATATAATTATATATTAAGGCCGTGTGCAAGTTCAAGTAAGTTAATGGTAAATTGAGGAAAATAATTAATTATGTCGGTATGACAGCGAATGTTGATATTTACCAGAGATGTTTAATAAATAAAAAAATAAATTTGAAAACTTTTAACAGAAAAATAATAAATAAGTGCAATAAATAAATGTAAATATATGCAGTGCAAGAAATCCTTAGAAAATTACAATTTACTTTAACTCAATTTATTCGGACTCGCACACGGCCTAACATTCGTTTTATTCTGTGTAATTATCATTTACATATTAAATTAAAAGGTCTTTAAATGCATCTCATAAAACTTATGTAGTTAAAATGCTTATCATAATATGATTCCTACAACTATAATAAACAAAAAAAATAAAATTTTAGATGAATTGATAAAAATTAAGAAGAAAAGGATTAAAACCTTTATAAATGGGATATGAACCCATTAGCTTAATTAGCTTATGATTTTATTAATTTTATTTATAAATACATTTTAGTGTAAGAAACACAAAAGATTTTGATTTCAATTTAATAACAATTTTATATTAGTAATATTACAAATAATATTAATATTAATAATTTTATATTATTAATCTCATATTTTAGTCTAATTCTTGTAATATTATTAATGTTATTTACTGTAATATTATTACAGTTATTTACATAACTGTACCTAAAAACTGTATAATACAATAATAATTTATACGCATATTTTTATATATTATAATAACTATAATATATGTTAGATTTGATGTATTTTAAATGAAAATGTGTACAAACGGTGTTATTTTCAGACTAATATAAGTTGAAAAACAAATTTTTTTCTTTCTGTTCGACCTTTGCCAAAATCGATAAAATAATTAAAGCAAAGTACTCGAATATCTGCTTAACAGACAACATTGTTGCATATGTTCAAAACATTTCCATACGATAATTATAGGTGCAAGTTTTCACGAGCACAAAACACATGTCAATCAAAAAAAAAACAGAAAAACAGAAAAACAAAGTGTGAATAAAAATAAAGCTATAAATCCATATATCATTATTCACCTTAAATCGGTTTTATTTAAAAAATTAAAAATATAAATAAAGTAGTGGTTAAAAACTTTACTAATATTTTATTATTTACACTAAGAAACTTTACTTGCTTAACACTTTGAACTTCTTTTTAAAAATATTATAAATTGCTTGATTTTCCAGAGTAAAATATTTAGGTAGTCTATTCCAAAACAGAAATAATGAATACAGGAATAATGAATTACAGGGAAACTAGAAAGTAAAAGTAAGTCTAAGTAAATTGTCTATATCATGTAAATTGTATATATCATAGGCTTACATATAAATTTTTGTAAATTTTTTATGTTTTTGGCAAAACTATGTCATACTTATCTTTCATTTGATGCGGATTTGAATTTCTTGCTTTTATAACATATATTCGTATAATTCGATTCGATTTGAACATAATTTGATGTGACATTGATTTTAATTTAAATAATTTACTCTCATTGTATCATAAATATGAAAGTTATTTTGTTTATACATTTTTCATGTGATAATGAGAACTTATAATATAAAGTAAATTTCATTTAAATGAACGTTTATTATGAAAGTATATTAAACAAATTTTAAGCCACTTATTCTAAAAGAATATATGTTTCTTTAAAGATTTTGTGCTTTTGTAAACATGTATTATATATAAAATATACATTTAATGTAATATATTATATTTTATAATATGGAATATATTAGTTATTGGACTTAAAGTAATGTATTATATTTTATTATATAGAAGATATTATTTAGTAGATGGGTATTTAACATATTTTTATATAACTCATTGTAACCCATTGTAATTATTTCAAGTCATAGATTTGAAGCTACGAAATAGTTTCGCATCGCTTTTAATTTAATAAACCTAGTGCTAACAGTCATTTCGCACGAAGAATTGATATAAAATTGCACATAAAAATTCTCTACTATGTGAAAAACTCTTTTATATAGTTTCTTATATTAATTTTTCATACAAAACGGATGTTAACATTTTGCTTTATATAAAAGAATATATATATATATATATATATATATATTATATATAATACATACATATATATATTATAATTATGTACTTTAAAACAAAACATATAACAGTAGCATACACATCAACTTTTGTGTAGAGTGCAATACGATTCTATAACGACCCACACTTTTTATGATTTCTCAGCAGAATTGGTTAAAAATAGTTTCTCTCTCTTTTCATGATCACAAACACAAAAGCTCTTAAAAATCAGTTCTTGGAATTATGTGAATGTGCACAGGTGCCAAAATTGAAAGTTGGCAGCTCAACGATCATAAAACTAAATAAGTAAAGTTTGGCATAAACAGAATTAAATATTAAAATATATTTTATCAATAAAAAGTGAATATATTAATTTATTAGTTTTTATAAAATTTAATAAAGTGCAAGCAAATTGTGTAGAATGGCGCATGCCGTAGTGAAAGTTGTGGAACGTTGCGAAAATGCACAAGAAAACAATACATTGGGTAAATAAAGTATTAGATAAATTTTACATCAAATAATTAAAAATAATATTTAAAATATTTGTTTTAATATAATTCAAAAATATACAAGTTTTAATAAATTATTTTATTTTTAGAAATAAGTGTTGTTGTTACAACTTGTGCTCATATGCCGCCTACTCATATGTGTGTTTCAATGCCAAATTGTTTTTATTGTCAAAAAAAGACCTTAAATGATATAAAATTTAAGGTGATATTTACTGCCTTAAATTTTATATAATTTAAGGTGTTATTTTACTGCCTTAAAATATAATTATTGGCGCAAGTTTTGCACAAGAATACGACTATTTTTTTTAATTCATATAGAAGAAAATATATTGATATTAAATAAATAAACACAATATTATTATCAAAATTATTTTTTCTTTCTTCCTCATAAAGTTGCATTCTAAATATTTCTTTAAAAAAATTTTTTTTTTTACATATGTTATTTGTTGGAATTATTAATAATATTTTCTATTATTTATTTACAGATTTGTCTGAGTGTCAATTAATGCACATACCTGATGCCGTTTACCATTTGATGCGAAATACAGAACTTAAGACTTGCGATCTCAGTTGCAATGTGATTAAGAAGATACCCCCAAAATTCGCTCTTAAATTTAATTTAATAACAGGTAATAATTTATTTTAATATTTCTATTAAAAAATAATTAAAAAGAAATATTGTTATTCTAATATAAAAAACTTAGGATTGTTTAAAATATATTTTTATTAGAGATATTTCTTCTACTCAACTATAAGTTTTGTTAAAGGTTGAGTACATGTCATAATGAACTGCCCATCTATATCTAATTATCC